GTCACTGTGTGAGTGTATATGTTTGCTCAGTGTCACTCACTGAGTTGGGAGGTCTTCACTGAGTCTGCCCTGCAGAAGGCAACAGTGAGCATTTGTTGAAGGAACCCAAAAGTAAATGAACAGGTGCTGTTCCGCAGTCAGAGCAATGGGGTCAATAGAAAACCCAAAGCCCTCATTTGGCTGAGGAAAGTTAGTGAGGAGGCAATGAATGAAGATGTAATCCTTGAATATGAGTCAGTAAAGAGGATTGCCACAATTCTCAAGCCCAAATTTAAGACTAATTAAAAGATAACTGAACAAGATTCTGGAGTTTAATTGACTCTAAACAGAACTATTGATTTCTTGCCAAAACCCATTTCTTCTCACTTCTTACCCACCTCTTCAGACAGCACCATTGGTCAACCAGAAACCCAAGCCAAAAACCTGGGTTCAGTCTCCATGTCTCTGTGTGCTCCAAGCCATCAGCAGAGCCTGTGGCTCCTCTTGGGCTACACACTGAATTCCCAGTTCCTTCCATCTCTGCTCTACTCGCTGTGGTCCAGACACTATCCCCTGTGGGCCTCAGTTGACCTGTTGCAGCATTTTCTCAGAGACCTCTGACTTTCTCTCTCACACATTCTAAGACATCTCTTCACAGAAGCTGAAGGATCTTTGAAAAACTCCTAAAGCGTTCCACCACTCATACAATAAATTTCAGCTCTGTACAGTGACACTTCAGGCCTCTGAGACCTGGCTTGCCTGATTCAGGTGTCCGTTGTCACTGTGTCCTCAACCCTCTAACCATGGTATCCTTCTCAAAGCTCACATCTTCCCCTCAGGGTCTTTGCTCTTGCTCTGCCCTCTGCCTGGATGTCTTTTCCAGGATTGTTGTCCAGGACTCAGCTCAAAACTGAAACCTCAGCTAAAAGGGCTCTAGCTATTACTTTGCTGTACTTTATTTCCAGCCTTGGACTTGTTGCTATCTGAAAGTAGCTCGTTTAATTTATGTGCTTATCATCGGTCCCCTCCAATGAGAATACATTCCTATTCTGAAGTTATCACAGTATTTTTTTTTTAAATTTGCTCTCATTATTTGTTATTCTACCTGGTTCAAAATCCTGTCCCCCAGCTCTTAACACAATGCCTGGCACACAGCAGCTGCCTAATACGTATTTTTCTAATTGAATGAATGAACTCAAATGTGTCCATGGCGCAAATTCATCATGAAAGCGAATGTGGTGTCAATCACCACCTGCAGGAGTTGGGGGATAGTCCAGTCAGTGTGCATTGTTCACATTCCTATTTCTGCAGTTGGTTCTGGGGTCCCCGCTGCCACAATCACCAGCACTGTAGGCAGGAAACAACCAAGTCGTCAGGTGAAGGGAAACAAAAAACCAGGGGCATTTAGTTTGTAGAGACAAGAAATCCCAGGAGGAATCTTGCTGCCATCCTTTACCATCTAAAGCATTACAGAAGGGAGAGGGGATAAATTCATTCTGGAGCCCCAAGAGCAGAATCCAGATCACTTAGCTTGATAGAAACAGATTTCAGTTATAGGGAGAGCATGACCCTTTGAGAGAGTTCACAGCAAGGGCTGTCTCAGAACACAGCACCTCCAGCTCCGGGAAAGGGTATGAGTGACTGCCTACTTGGCAAAAATGTTGAGGAAGTGACTCAGGCAGCATAAGATGGTGTCCAAGATTTCTATGACATTTAGGGACAGGGTCAAGAAAAAGGTTCTGGATAACAAGGTTTGAGAACTTGCTCACTAACTATTCTGAAGAGGATAACACCAAACACAACTTTACACAGTAGGCAGGGGAAAGGCTTGTAGATAGGTGTTTCAAGGCCTTGAATGAGCGTGAGACACTGTGGACTGCTCCCCGGATATAAAAATCTACTCATGATCACTCAGAGCACAGGGCTCCCAAGTAATCTGTGTAGAAATACTTTATATTCCAAGGGAGGATGGCCACCATCTCGCATCTAGGCTAAGATGGTCTTGGTTTCAGTTTTGGAATTCTACCTCTTCTTCAGGGGTTGGAGAGATGGTTCAGCAGTTCAGAACACTGGCTGTTCTTGCAGAAAACCCTGGTTCAAATCCCAGCACCCACACAGCAGCTAACAACAGTCCGTAACTCCAGTTCCAGGGCATCTGACACCCTCTTCTGTCCTCTGCAGGCATTGTTATGTATGACACATGGGTGCAGGCAATACATGCAGGCAATGCACACATATACATAAAATAACAATAATAAATAAAAAAAGAAAGAAGCCCCTTCAAATCTCACCTGCCTCTTTTGTATCAAAGTGCTTACTTAGCCAGATCTGTAAAACAATGCTTGGGAGGCTGAGGCAAGAGGATTTCCATAAGTTTGAGTTCATCTCGGGATACACAGTGCATTCTAGGCCGCCTTGGACTAAACAGTGAGACTCTGTCTCAAAAAACAAAATGACAAACAGATAAACAAATGAGCTTCAGTTAAAAATGGGAGAGGGGACTGGAGATGTGGCTCAGTGTTTGGGAGTACTTGCCATTCTTCCAGAGGACCTGAGTTTGGTTCCTAGCACCCACACCAGGCAGGCTCATGGACACCGGTGACTCCATTTCCCAGGGATCTGATGCCCTCTTCGATTTTCTCAGGCACTCACACAAGTGGCAAACACTCACACAAGTAGACACACATACACATACACATACACATAAATAAAACCATACAAATAAATCTTTTAAAAATTTAAAAGTGGGAGAAAGGAGTAATTGAAACCAGAATGACACAGTCTAATAATTATCGAAAGTCAGTTTCACACAAACATAAACTCTTACCGTCCTATCTCATATGGAGTTCAAAATAGTGCCTACCTTGCATAAAAACTGTAGGGTGTATAGAATTGACAACCATCATTATTACAAGGAATTTTATCAGTCCAACTATCCCTCTTTGTCACTCCAGCAACCCCTACCAAACACACAGCTGTCAGCCCCATTTGGCAGACAAGGTAACCAAAGCTCGGATCAACAGATGAGGCACAGATGCTGCAGCTGGTGCGGGGCTGAAGTGTGATCTGAACCCAGTTATCTGACTCTACCAGCATGGCTGCCTTTTATTTCAGGAAGAGCTCATTGTGCTCTACTTCGTTGATAGCGACACAATTATGATATCGTTTATTCATCTAAGTCAGTGGTTTCCCAGTTCTTTTCTCAGTAGCGAGACTCTTTTCAAATAAAACCATACTCAGAACTCCAGTTAGTAAAACTGATAAAAATCTGAACAGCTCTGGTTGAAATGTTGGGGCAGACTGGGGCCCAGGCACCAACCTACTTGACTCTAGGTTTCTTGGAGCACAGTGTAAAGACCCCAGATAGAAGCCAACAGCAGTAACCCTCCCTGCAGTGAACTCTGTGGATTCCATATTAAGGGCAGCCTTGCCTGTATAATGCATCTTTCATTTCCTTGTTTCCCATCACATTCGATCCTCATTATCATCTCTGAGGTGGACAAGGCAGGACCCATCATCCTCAATTTGCAGATGAGGAAATCAAGGCCAAACGAAGTGAAGCAACTGGCCACAAAGTTTTGCCAGTTCAATTTCTGGCCAAGAACAGACTGGAAGTAGAGTCCGTCTCCATGAATTCAGTGTGACCTGGCAGAGAAGGTGCCATCTACTGGAAATTGCTGCTGACCTTTGGTCCTGAAAGTGGACAATCAGCTCCTTGGCCACTGAGAGCTGAGTACAGCCCCAAGGTTTCAAACCTCTGCCAAGGTCCTGTCCCAGACAGATGGCAACGAACAGGGGAGAACAGCCCAGCGCCACTGAATGAACTAGCCATAGGATTTTGGCGGTAGACAGGCCATTTCCATCTGAACTGGGTCATGCTGAGTACCAGGCAGGGGAGGCGAGAGCTGCCAGCCTGCCTTCCACCTTCATCTGCAGTAAGCAAAGAAGCTTGTAAAGGGGCAGCCAGCGGGAGTAATGACCTGAGGATCAGCTACACTTTTTCCCTAGCTTTTCCTTAGATAGCCCTGAAACCAGAGGCAATTACTAAATGCCTGAATGGTCTCCTCACTCCAGAGCATCTCTGAACTGAGTTGGAACATGTGTTGGAGCAGAAAACATTTAATTAACACTTAGTCTTTAATTAGCCCTTAATTATTAACACTTAATCCATCTGTAAAATGGGGACACTAATACCCCTTCATAGGGACTCTGAAAGGATTAATTAATATTTGTAGCCCACTTTGAAGATGCAGAGCCTTGAAGATGTGGCATTAATCACTGCAGCTGAGGTGCTCCCTTTTTTTAATGAGGTCCTTTCTTCTGCCCCCTTCCTCTCCTTGCCAATATTCATCCCCAACAACGTCTCCCCAACTTTGCCCTAGTGGAGAAACACTTAGTTCTGTGTTTCCCAGACACGGAATTTCCTATCTAGGAAACCAGCTATTTACAGCCATCTTCCCGCACTTTAATTTTCTATTATGTCCTCTGAATATGTCAATGCCTTCCCAGTAAATATTTTGATGTGCGCTCTTGCAGTAGCTTCTGTGGAGGCTGAATGGGACAGCTGCTCCCCGTATTAGGGAATTCCAGATGTGGTTTCAAACCACCAGACTCATCTGTGCCCATTGCCTGGACTTTGCATGGGAGAGGAAAAGGATCTTTTAGTAAGTTGCCTCTGGGGACACTCATGAGTCATCTAACCCTCAGCCTTGGCTAGGATGCTCAAGCAAGGACCCCAGACTGGCTTCTGAGTTGCTTGTGCCTTTAGAATGAGAAATGTCTCCTTAGTAGCTGGAAAAGAGGCAGGCGGGAATGCAACTCTGGCCTGGTTCTTCTCTGCCCCAGAACTTCAGAACCTTGGTCAGCCCTTCCTTTAAAACTACCATAATTATGGGGGTGGAGACAAAACATAAGGGATAGGGATTAACACTGGGCCAGAAGATTGAATCAAAGACCAGAGATTTCCATTTCTACACCCTCCCTTTCCCTCTTTGCTACCAACCAAATAGAGGGCTACTCACTCTTCTTGGAAGCTGACAGTCCCAGCCACCTGGGTAGAGAGCGTTTCCATCGAGGTCGTGGGCTGCAGGGACTCCGGCAAGCCCTGAACTCTCTTCCAGATCTCATGGCAAATCTTGTCTAGGCTGTCTTGGGGTGTATTCTGGTGAATCCAGACATATCTGGGAAATGGCCCCAGGGCTGAGGGGTGCTTGGCCACCAGGGCAGAGGATGGAGGAAGCCCATTCCCACTGGCCATCCTCTTCCTCTCTTTCCGGAAGCACCTTTGTCCACCCAGGGCTCATTCACCAGAAAGGGAGCTGAGGACTGGGCCCCGGAAGCAGTCAGTGCTGGCCTGCTGTGCCTCTAGCCAGAGAGTGGCTTTCAGAAGCCTTTGGTTTGGGGTGGGGTGGAGGGTGAGGGGCAACTTCCTTTTGGGGAGGGGGGCTTAAGTTGACTTGTTTTTATTTGCTCTTTGCTGACTTTTGCCCCCCTCCCCCTCTCCCTTAGAAGAAAATATTTAAAAGTCAACAAAAACCAGTAACTTAGTAACCGTGGAATCCCCTGGAGCTCAGGAACCAAGCGCCTGGGCCGGCAGAATGACATCTGGGAATAGCTGGAGGGGAGGACTGGCTCTCCCCGCAAAACCCAGCATTCCCCCTATGTGGCACCACTATGACACCTTGCGGTGCCTGGGTAAGGCCATGGAACTGTCACTTCCCACCTTCCCAAGAACCCAGTGCACCCAGAGGACCAACTGCCCCTGCCCAACCCCGGCAGGCTTTTGCTCTCTCTGCTGCCCCGACACCTCTGCTGTGCGGGGGCGGGGGTTAGAAATCTCCAATGTGGCGCTGTTTGGTCAGCTTGCCGGGTCGGGTCGGGTTCCCAGCAGACACCTGCTGTCCCTGCACAGAGCTGTGACCAGGCCAACACCGCCAGAGGAAGGGTCCCAAACACTTAAAAGGACGCCGATTGGGCAGGGCGGGCCCAGGCGGGTGTCTTCCGCCTTTGTTTGTCAGTAGCTCCCACACCCTTGCCCTGGAGACCTGGGATTCTTTCTGTGGGTTCAAGCTCAACGGCTCGGCTAGGTGCGCGGGGAGGGGGGGCGCACGGGCCAGGGCGTTCGGACCCAAGGCCAGCACGTGGGATGGACTGGGATGGAGCCCGCAAGACCCCCTGGCGCTTCCCCCATTTGAAGTCTGTTCCCACTCCACCACTTCAAAAAAACCTCAGGGCCTGCGGGGGTGGGGGACCCGCCCCTTTGAGCTCTGATTTTAGCCCTAACTGCCATGCCGTGGGGCATTGAATGCCAAGTGCTGCCTCAAGTCTAATTCTAGTTAAACTCATGAGGTTAGTACCGCTCTCCATGATTCTTGTACATGGTGGAAACGGAGTCTCAGAGTCATAAAGGTCCAGGGCTCAAGAAGCAAGGCTTGGGATTCAAACGCCAGGACTCTACACCTGATAGCGCCTGGTGGCTCTCAGGCAGACAGGCAGCCGCTGGGCTGGTGCAAGCTTCAGGGGTCCGGGGCCAGGGAGGCTGGCCCAGGTGCTGGGTGGTAGTGGTGGTGCGGCATTCCCTAGCTCTTTACTGAGGATCAGTAGTCTCCCCACTCAATGAATCATCTTCTCTACAGAAAGCCAATCCAGCACCTAAGCAAGCTCTCCCTGGTCCCCTAAATCTGTAGTTACTCCTGCAAGTGTCCCTCTGGGAAGGGACTGCAAGAGGCAGAGGAAGAAGGAGACGGATGAAGATGGTTCCCCTAGAAGCCGGCTGCAGTGACCTGGCACAGTATCCCTTAGCTATATTACCATTCCCCCAGTACCCATGGACCCCTCTCTGTTCCAGGTAAGCTTCTGAGGACTGGACAGGCAAGAAGGCAAAGGGAAGGTCTGGTGCCTGCCTGCTCTAGTGAAGCCATTTTCCAAGGAGGTAGCCCAATCACTAACAGGCAAAACTGACCAACCTGAGGCAACAGGGCAGAGCTGCAGCCACTTGTAGATGGTGGTCCAGATAAGGGCCCGCCCGATGGCTGAGGCAGGAGGACCTCAAGTTCCAGATTAGTCTAAGCCTGCAGAGTGAGACCCATCACACTTCCAGCACATAGTAGGCACTCAATAAATTCATGTTGGTTGAACTAATGGTATGCTGTATCTAAAGTACCTGGTATGCAGTAGGTGCCCACTACAAAACCTTGCTCTTTACAGAGAGACTGAGTTCGTGGAAATGTTGACTCTGAGTTTTGAAATCCGGGCTTCATTCCTTTTTGATTTTCATTATGAAATTGAAGCTGTGTTCCTTTGGGGAAAATTCCAAGGACCTAGACTGAATAAGATTATAGTTAAGAATGTAGAAAAACCTTTTAAGATAGTGTATTTAAAGGGAAAGTGATCATTTCTGATGAAATATTAATATTTCTGAAAATGTCACCCAGTGTTTGTGCTGCTTGGCATTTGGTAGGCTAACACCCATGCTCCGAGCAGAGCACCAAGACCTTGCAGTGCCCAGGCCACAGGATTCAGGAAAGTCAGCCAGCTTACCCTGCTGCCTCTGTTCGCTTCCCCCCACCCCCCCTTAGCAGGAAACCAGGCAGTAGGGGCTAAATCAGAAAGGACTGCATAAAAAAGCCAGGAGAATGAACAAAGATACAGGTAGGGTTTCCTGGCGCACACAGGCTTTTACAAGAGTAATGCTGTATTTAGAAACTGCATAAAGCTACGTCTAATACAAGTGCCACCAGCCATACAGGGTGATTGACATTTTAATTGTATTTTAACATTAGTTTAAAATTTTGACTCATGGGCCGAGAAGATGGCTCAGTTGGTAAAGCGCTTGCCTTGTAAGCATGAGGACCTGGGTTCAGATTCCCAAAACCCATGTACAAAAATGTGGGTAACAGTGTGCCTATAACGCCATCACTGCAGAGGGGGAGACAGAAGGATCCCGAGGGCTTGCTGTAGCCAGTCTAGTGGAATCAGTGAACTCCAGGTTCAGTGAGAGACTCTGACTGAAAAAATTAGGAGCGTAATAGTGTAAGAAACCCAGTGACAACTTCTGGCCTCCACACATGCACATATACACATAACAACATGCATATACACCAACACAAATACAACTAACTAACTAAATAATAAATAAATAAATAAATGAATAAATAAATAAATAAAATAGCAACAAAATGGTTCTCCACCTACACTAGCCACATCTCAAGTATTTAAAAACCACCCAAGCCTAGGGCATATTTAACAACATAGAGAACATCTTACCACAAGACACGTGAACTCCAGAATCAGACTATTTGAGCTCATATTCAGAGTTCATCACATTTTGAATTTTCTGGCAGTGTAAACTGAGGCAAGCTATTGTGTGTGCTATGTGCTGATGGTTTGCTAGGGTCATCAAAGTGTATTGGTCCAAACGAAGAACTTGCTTTCCTTTATAGTTTTGGAAGTTAGAAGGTCAAGATCAAGGTTGGTTTCATTCTGGGGTGTGAAGGTTCATTTTAACTGTCAACTTGATACACTCTCCAACCACTTACAAAGGGAGTCTCAATGAGGGATTGACTAGATTAGGTTGGCCTCTGGGCATGCCTGTGGGGGATTATCTTGATTACATTAATTGAGGTGGGAGAACCTGCTTACTTTGGTTGGCACCAGTCCCAGGATCCTGGATTATTTATGAAGGGAGAGCATGGACTGAGCACTAACAGGCTTGCATTAATTCATCTCTCTCTGCTCTTGATTGTGGATGTCATGTGACCAGCTGCTTCAGGTTCCTGCTGCCTTTACTTCCTTGCCATGAGGAACTAGAATCCTGAGCCAAAATAGATCCTTTTTCCCTCAAGCTGTTTTTGTCAGGGTATTTTATCACAGCAATAGGAAAAGAAAGCAAAGCAGGAGAGCCCTTCCTTAGTGTGGAGGGAGTCTTTTTTCCCGTCTTCACATGGTTTGTCTCTGTGCTTGACTGCATCCCAATCTTCTTTTTTAAAAATATTTTGTTATTTTTTATGTGTATAAGTGTATTGCCTGCCTGTGTGTAGGTGCACCTGTGTCGTGTAATGCCTGCAGAAGTCAGAAGAGTCCCTGGAACCGGGGTTACGGATGGTTTTAGGTGCCATGTGGGTGCTGGGAAATGAACCCACGTCCTCTGCAAGAACAGCAGCCAGTGCTCTTAACCATGAGCCAACTCTCCAGCCCCCGAGTCTCCTCCTTTGAAAAGGGCATGAGGACTGGGGAGACAGTTCACTTGGCATCTCCTCCTTTGAAAAGGGCATGAGGACTGGGGAGACAGTTCACTTGGCAAAGTGTTTGCCATGCAAGCTTGAAGGACTTGCTTTTAATCCTTAGCACCCAAGGGCCTACCAGTCCAACCTAACTGGAGAGTCCCAGATCTCAGGGAGAGGACCTGTCTCGAAAAAAAAAAAAAAAAAATGGTGGCTGGAGAGATGGCTCAGCAGTTAAGAACACTGACTGTTCTTGCAAAAGGCCCGGGTTCAAATCCTAGCACCCACATGGCAGCTAACAACTGTCCGTAACTCCAGTTCCAGGGGATCCAACAGCCTCTTCTGTCCTCTGCTGACATTGCACAACACAGGTGCACTTACCTATATGCAGGCAATACACGCATACATGTAAAATAAAAATAATAAAAATATTTTTAAAAAAGTGAACAGCTCCTGAGTAAACACACACGTGCACGCACACACACACACACACACACACACACACACATACACACACACGCATACACATACACACAGAGTTCACTAGTTACCACCCTAATGGCTTCCTTTTATCTCTTTAAAATCCTTATCTCCAAATAAAGGTGCATTCTGAGGGACTGGGGCTTTGGGCTTTAACATCTGAATGTTAGGAAGACAGATCCAACCCATACCACTTAGTTCCCTCCTCTGTACAGAATGGTAACAAAGAACGCTGGCTGGGTAGAATGATGGTAGATGTTCTATTACTGAGTAATTGCTTAACACATAATAATTACTGGAACAACACCTGGCACAGAAGAGACCTATAAAGGCACTCTACATTGGTTCTCCTGTTGACGACATGGAAATGTATGCCATTGGAGCTTTTGGGCTAAACACAGCGGGGGGGAGAATCTTATCTGTACTGGGGAAATTGTACTGTGATAGACTGAAGTCACCATGTGAGCATCTCCAGCCTGAGTTTTGTTTTCACTCATATAGTTGGTGTATATTCAATTTTGCTTGCATATGGACACATGTATATGGAGGCCAGAAATTGCCATCAGTTGACTTTTTGGACTACTGTCTGCTTTTCACAGAGGCAGGGTCTCTCGAGGCTCTTCAATTGGACTAGTCTAGCTAGCTTGCCTGGAAGGATCTCCTATCTGCCTCCCAAATGCCGGGATTACAGAAGGGTTGCCACATCCACTTGGCTTTTTATGTGAGTACTACGTGCCTGAATACTTCTAGTGCTTGTGTGGAAGGTGCTTATCCGCTAAACCAACTCCCTGATTTCCAGACTGTGTTTTTGAACACCAGCCATGGGCTTTCATAGTGGAAGGCATAAGGATTAGAGATGAGTAAGTCCTCTACCCTAGATAGAGTCACAGCCTGGAAACATCCCACCAGTGCCTGGCACAGAGCAGGCATGGCACAAACTGAATTTATACCAGTGTTTGGGGAGCTCTGTCCCTCCAGCACCTGGTGCTTGTGGAAGTGCTGAACAAGACAGGCTTGGCACCTGACGTTTTTAGAGTTCAACGGGAGGCATTTAATGGTCATAGACACTATTTTATCTCTGAATTATTTTTAACTTGGAAAAGTTCTTAAATTCCGTTACTCCAAATATGACCTTGAGCGGCTTGTTTCACCCTTTTGCGCTTCAGTCGGCTTCTCTGTAAAATAGACATAATAAAACACTGACCTCAGAGAGTTGTTTGGTGACAATTGAGACAAGACATGTGAAGAGTTTAGAAGTCAGTCTGGCACATACTGTGTTGCCAGTGCACGTTAGCGGTCATTGGGTAGGATTCTGGGATTCTTCCTTTCATTTTTTTTTTTTTCTTCTTCTTTTTTTTGGAACACAGTTGCATATAGTCCAGACTGGCCTGAAACTTGTGCTGTTGCTAGGGATGACCTTGAACTTCTGATCCTCCTGGTTCTACCTCCCAGGATATCTGGGATTACAGGCATGAACTACCGCACCTGGTTTATGGGGTACTAGAGATTGAACCAAGGGTCTAGAGGGCATGCTAGACAAGCCGTCTACCAAAAGAGCCCCTTACTTTACCTAGCCTCTTACTTATTATTTAGAATCAGGAAGCCTTAGGTGGAGGCAGCACTCCTACCTGATCTATAGCCAAAGGCTGTCTTCCATATCTGACA